CAAATCTTCAAAGCTAGAAGAAAAATTGTATTTAAAATGATCTAATCCATTTATCTCATACATAAAGGAAAAAGCCAGCTAGCTGGCTTCTAACTTCTAACTGAAAAATTTCTCCCACAACTGGTAATGTAATTACCTATGTTGCCCCTAACCATACACTTACAAGCAAATATTAATAGGTCGAGTTTTCTCATTAAACAAAAGAAGCTTTATAGACGAGGTAAGATTTCAGTAATTTGAATATTGGGTAAGATCTGATAGTTAAGTAGATATGACAATGTCATATCTTCTCCCAAGGGCAGAGCTTGGCTTCAACAGTGTAGGATGACTGGAACTTTGAGCTGCTCTTTAGAACAAAGAAAATGTAAAAGATTAAGAACCCTGATAAAGTAAAAAAAATAATTCCACAAGAGTAAAGACAGACAATCTGGAGCTGGAGAATTTGACAGCCTCACATGCAGTTCAATTACTATATGCAATAGTAATGGAGAACGTAGATTGGATCCTGGACCCAAAAAAGGACATGAGTGGGCCAACTGGTGAAATTTGAATAAGGTCTGTAAATTAGTTAATAGTATTGTACTAATATTATTTTTCTGGTTTCAATAATTATACTTTGTAAGATATTAATACTTGAAGAAGATGAGCAAGGGCAAAAGGAAACTCTTTTTACTAGTTTTGTAATTTTTGTAAACCTGAAATTATTTCAAAAAGGTTAAATTTATTTTTATTTTAACTATTATGTAAACAAATATCAAGTACTATATATAATAAATATATTTAATAAATCTTGAGAATATAATAAAGTACCAATAGACATCAATTATCAAGTATCTTAATGAAAAAAGAGAAAATTGAAAGTAGTATTATAGTCCTGGGGTAAAACCGGATCTAAGAGCTTGTGATTTGTTCAATCCTTTAAGGAAAAAAAAAAATACTGAAGACAGTAAATCATAGAAATTAAAATACATTTCAACAGCACTGCATAAGAAGGACCCTGCATCTAGAAATGCTTTTAAAATGTCTGCTAAAAGATTCAGATGAACAAGATGAATTATTACACACAACAAATTAAATGTGTAAAATCATCTTGTAAATTAAACTGAGATTTTAAAACAATTATCTCTAAAAACATGTGCTTTTATATATAAGATAATGAAACTATTTATGATATACTTCACACCATAAAGCACACAGACAACATTAATATCCCTTCAAAAATTGCTGTAGTATAGGATTTGTTATACTTTACCCAGAAAGATATTTAAATTTCCTCATAAACCTTCAATTACTGATACCAAGATGACTCCAAATTATTGAGTTATGGTCAAACTTTAGCTTGAGCTAGCAAGATAAAATTTAAAGAGTCTGCAGAAACAGGTATATGCCTCATTCAGTGTAAAATGTCAGAGTGTAGCGTGGCAAAATGTCTTTGGACAGCAATTAGTCAATATCTATCAAAATATTAAATATATGTACCCCTTGATGCAGCAATTCCACAACATAAGTACTCAGCACATATACATAGGATTTATTCACTGCATCATTGTAAATAAGAAGACCTGAAGCACCGGGGCACCTGGGTGGCTCAGTCAGTTCAGTGTCTGCCTTCAGCTCAGGTCATGATCCCGAAGTCTTGGGATCGTGTCCCATATCGGGCTCCCTGCTCAGCAGGGAGTCTGCTTCTCCCTCTGCCCTTCATCCTGCTCATGCTCTTTCACCCTCTCTCTCAAATAAATAAATAAGGGCGCCTGGGTGGCTCAGTCGTTAAGCGTCTGCCTCCGGCTCAGGTCATGATCCCAGGGTCCTGGGATCGAGTCCCACATCGGGCTCCCTGCTCAGCA